AGATATTCATTTTATAGAACATGGAAATATTACAGAGCACATAGATCCATTCACACCAGTCCCTGTCCCTGAAGGTCCTTGCAATGTAATGTCCTGTCACACATGCCCTAGGGCCAATTATAGTGAAGCACATTCCTTTATCAGTACATTTTTATATTGGGGTAAGACACTGGCACACAGGATATCTGCCCACCCTCAAATGAACGCTGGCAACTACCACAATTCCTGCCCAGTGACACATAAAAAGCTTTCCTTAGGCCTCATTCACACTAGCGGTGGACCTTTACCATTCTCTGAAAAGTTGGTTCACAGGTGTTCAGGAGGAGATACTGACACCTCTAGAAATAGGGATTTTGCAATACAATACATACCACTATTAACCCTTGCAGTGGTGCTAGCCCCGCACTGCAAGGGTTAAGTGCTTGCTTTTTGCCTAGGGTCAAAAATAACACAAGTTATACTTACCTCAGCATGTACCTCTTACCTGGTACTTACCTGGTATGTACCTCAGCATCCTCACATCCTATACGCGGCGTACAGAACGTGATGGCTCAGGGACCTTACACTGCAGCAGCAGAGGGGGAGTAATGCTCCAGGGACTGGTCTAAGAGCAAGCAGGCTCGGAGGATCGGGCCAGTATAACTTTTTTTTTTATTTTGACCCTAGGCAAAAATAAGCACTTAACCCTTGCAATGCAGGGGTAGTACCACTGCAAGGGTTAATAGTCCTTCTTTAAAAAAGGAGAACTATGGGGTTAAGTCTTTTCCCCATAGTTCTCCTAAGGGTAACGGGAGGACACAAACTAGCGTCCTTCCGTTACCCAAAGCTCAGTATACCGCGAGCTACAGCTCGCGGTATACTGAAATGCCGCAGCCAGAAAGGATCCCAACAATCCTGTCTGGATCCACCCAGCTGCGTGAGTGACAGCTGGCTCTATCTAGAGGCAGAGCCAGCTGTACACGCCACTCCCCCCGTCCGTTCCGCCAGTCAGCGCTGAAGGATCGGACAGGGGAGGGGGGGAATCCCTGCAGGGAACCGTGAGTGACAGTCACGGTTCTCTGCAGGGATAGATCGAGAAGTGAGCGCCGGTATGTGTTCGCTCACTTCCCGATCTACTGAGCCGACCTGTGACCGTTTCATTGTCACAGGTCGGCTCAGATTATGAAGCTGGGTGAAAATCACTCACCTCATAATTCTCCTTTAAAATTAATCACTTACACATAGTAGAGGCATGGCCAACATAAAGCTAGGTGAGGACCAACCCGGCCTTGCTGCTATTACAGTGCATTAATCCTGCAGTGTACGCCTGAGCTTTGACTGTTTTGCTGAACGCAGTGGAAAGCATGCGAGCAGGAACGCGTCATATTCCGATGATTCCCACTGTGCTCAGCACGACATTCCATTGCAGGAGTGCTGCTCAGAGTGTTCAATTATTGTAACAGTGGCGGGTGGAAGGAACGCTCTGCTTCCCAATGAAGCTGTACTGAGCACAGCCAGAAGCAGGTGGAGATCAGTCGCTTCTTGTGTGATTACTCATATCGAACCTTAGCAGCATTTTTCCCCAGAGAGATCTCCGCTTTTATACAATTGCAATATGCTGAGTCACATGTCATTTTATATAAGACACGTGCCTAAAAAAATGCCTCTTTTTTATGTGTTTACTTTCCCACAGAAAAAAAAAAAATCAGGATTTTATGCCTTCATTCCATTAACCCTAGGACATAAAAATGCGGCCTTCATCATATTCATGTAATGCTACATATAAAAATGAAAGCAAGCAAGACCTTCCAAAACAAACACTGCCATTTCATTACACAACACATAGTAACATGCAAAAAACCCCAAACACTACCAATGAGTCATATAAAACACGCCGAAAGAACAAAAACACCCGGCATCCAGATAGCACAAGAACAAAGCTCCTCAAACTGCATTTACTGAATCTGGTAGCGAGAACCACAAGCTGCAAGTTTGGGCATCTTTAGGAACAATAGAATAATGTAAACACCTTCAAAGGGCCGGGATTCCAAAACAGCTTAGCAAAGGTGACAATGATGAATGCTTGAGCAGGAGGAAAGCTCACCCTAGGCAATCATTGGTTTTCACATGTTGAGCGTTTTACAGAGCGTAGGAACGTGCTGTAAAACGCCCAGGTGTGAACCAGACATTAAAGAAGAACTTGACCCATATCTACAATATAACAACAAACACCCCTTTAGAAATGTTTAGTAATGACAATCTATAAACACATACTTCTAGATAATTGCCGACTTTGTATTCTTTGCATTCCTTATTTCTCTTTTCTTCCCCATTCTTCTCCCACTGGCCATTTTTACTAAAGGCAGATGAATCCATCCCTTTACTTCCTGGAACTCTGGCACATGTGACCAGGACACATGACCATGCCCATCATCTCAGGGGAGGAAAATGCCTTTCCTCGAGATCTCATGGGAATAGCTGAGGTTTCCCAGCATGCATTGCTTGGGCACATCACTAATGCCAAAGGAGGACCAGGAAGTAGAAAGCAAGAAATTGTTTGTACCTAAAATAAAAATATGTTTAACTAATGAATATGAGATGATTTCATATCAGCATGCAGAGCTGAATATTGATGTGATTTTTGGACAAAGAGAGGAAAAGGGTTCACTTTAAAGTCAAACATTATAAATGTCAAATGTTTTCCTTAAGTGTGTGTTCACCTAACTGATCTTCTCCTCCTAAGTTATCACTGAACCAATTGCAAGCTGACACTTAAGGTAAAGTTTTCCAGGACAATATGTCTATACCTCTGTGCCTTATGGTTTTGGCTTTTTTTAATTTGAATTTCCTTATTTTTTATAACGTAGACAGAACTTGTACTGACCCTAAACCCCAACCTCTTAAATTAAAGAACTATGAGGTGAGTGAATTACACTCATCCCCATACTTAGAGCCGATGTGTGACATTGAAACTGTCACCGGTCGGCTCTATTGATCGGGGAGTGAACACATACTGCCGATCCGCTCACTTCCTGATCATCTCCCTGCAGAGAGCGGTGACTCTCTGTAGGGATTCCCTCTTCCCCTCTCCGATCCCCCAACGCTGACTGGAAGGACCGACAGGGGAGGGGGAGGGCTGGCTCCGACCTCTAGATAGGCAGAGGCATCTGTCAATCAGCCAGCTGGATGGATCTCGACAGTATTGTTGATCCGTCCCGGCTGCGGCGTTCTCAGCATATAGTGGGCAATAGCCCTCTTTATACTGAGGTTTGGGTCACGGGAGGAGATTAGTATATGTCCTCCCATGACTCTGAGTAGAACTATGGAAGAAAAAAAAACATTGCCCCATAGTTCTCCTTTAAGCATGACAAAAAGAACCTTGCCATGAACAGATTCTTCATATCATATACATAGGTAGCTTACCTGTATTTAGGCAGATATGTGCTCCTGGCCCATCAGGGATGTCGGTCTTCTAGTACAAGACTCTGCAACCTAGTGTAAAGAGAAAACATGCCGTTATAACATCACCATAACAAAAAGACAGAGGGAACAAGACAGAATACCAATACTGAACTAAGAGTGGGCAAAAAAAAAAGTCTAAAACATCTGCAAGATAAATCTATGCGCCACTCTGCCACGTATACTGCAAATAAAGCCCTTTTAGGTTCCAGCACATTCTTTCAGCTGTCCAGTCGAGTGCCCTGAGAGCCGGAGGCTCCGTTCACACTATCTGGGGTGGCTGGCATTTTTCTGCATCTGATCAAATCCCGCCTATGCAAGGGAATATAGAGAACACTTGTTTTTTTGACATGCTTACACTGCAATGCTGCCTACAGGTGGATTGCAGTGCGTTATAAAAAATGCAGACATGCTGATTTTTTTTCTGCAACGCACCAGAGCTCCACTGCAGTTCACAGAACTGAATGAAAGGTTTCTTTCAATGTCAATAAAGTAAAAAAAAAGTAAATAGTGCCTTGCGTTGTAGCAACACATGGCACCATATCCTGCTAGCAGCATATGGTGGCCAGTGTGAATAGGCCCTGAAAACCTGCAGAGCTCCAACATGCAAGTCAATGACCTGGAACCAGCACACAGATCAGGAGTTCTTACTGTACTGCCGACAGACTTGTTCCAGGTCAGTGATTGTGAAAGTACTGAAGCTTCTGAAAGCTAGGTAGCAGGCATTTTTAGAAGGTAAGGTCAGTCAATGCAGTCCAACCATTTCATTTGACTCCATTGCAAAAAAAAGTAAAAAGCCCAGAATACTTACCACTCTCCTGCCGTCAACCTCCCGTGTCTTCAAGAGATAAGCTTGCTGAAGAATCTTCAGCATCCAGCATGTTTCTGGGTGTGTGATGCCCAGTCCCCTGCTGGCTCTGTGGTTCCCTTCTGCTGGCCCATATATATCACTTCTGTGCCCTGTCATGGGGCAGAGGCCAGCAGCGGGGAACACAGGCACCAGACGCTTTGAAAAGATCAGATGAAAAGGGTTTTCCAACAAGCTTATTTCTTAAAGATGGCTGAGCTTGGCGGCACGGGAGGCAAGTACATATACTTGACTTTGCAGGCTAGACTATGTTATTTAACTTTCCTAAAAATCAACTTCTCTTATTTACGCCATTTTGGTCTGTTAAGAGGCATTTACCTCCACTTTCCTCATCACCAATATGAAGGCATTTTGTAATGAAGAACTCCAGGGAAACAAAAAAACGTACAGAGCGAAGTGCTTGTTTTGTCTAGGAGACTCAAAGCTGTGTTATTTACCTGATCCTCAGTCCCGCTGCCTCACTCCGGGGTGCTAGACTGGTCCCTGCAGCCTCTTTTCCCCTTTACTCTGGCAGTCCAAGGACTGCGGACATCATCATGCCTTATGTAGGTCCATTGACCTGCATTAAATGAGGAGATACCAAAGGACATTCCATAGTCGGAGAACAGGGGGACAGCTGGGGAAAGGTGAGTGCTGACAGTCACAGAAGCTGGGATCAGGCAAGTAAAAGGGCTTTATTCACGCCCCCTAGACAAAACGGGCACTTAACCCTTAAAGTGCAGGTGTAGCCTCACTGCAAGGGTACTTCGTTTGTTTGCCCGGAGTTCTTTAACAAATTTGTTGCAGTCATAGCACCAATATGTCAGTGTCACGTGTACAAATTACCTTGATTTGTCACATGCATCGGAAACAGCAAGAAAACCGTTGCAAAGCTTTCATCAATCTGGGACAGAACTTTCTAATATAGCCAGAACACCATAAATGTGTGACGAATGCTTTATTGAAGCATCCCCAGTAAGTGTTATGGGCTATAAAATAAGAAGCTGATAAATATTCTTACATAATTCTTATAGCATTCATTCACAAACAATCAACACAAAAACATCAACATTGAGAGTAAACCAAGAAACAAAAAGAAGGAGTAAATAAACGATATTCAGGAAAACACTGATGCAAATACTGTCAATTCTAGTGTATTGGCACACGGGCGATCCCTTCTCGCCATACTGCTACTTAATATAATGACATCCACTGGAGGTCATACAGAATCCTTGGAATCCTCACAGAGGAGTCAACTGAAAACTGAGGAAAAAGTTAAGCCAACCAGTCACTTCTTACCTCATGTTTAGCATCCTTAAACTTAGTACTAGGGATGCACTGATACAGGGTTTTTGGTAATGAGTACCGATATTTTTATCAATCGGTATATATCGATACCGAATACTATTACCGGCATCCCCAGGTAGTGTGGGCCTGGCTAATCAGGAAGCCAGTGTTCTATCGCAAGGACACCAGCTTCACGCTGCCAAGCAACACTGCAAGTAAGCCTGGCTTCTTAGCCAATCAGGAAGCCGAGAGGTGGGTCATGACCTCATTCGAATGCCTCCTGGATTCCTGATTGGCGGGGGAAGCCGGTTCCATGCTCCCTTGTGGCACTGCCGGTCAAAGGGAATATCACTATGAGAGGAAGTTCCGGTATCGAGGTAAGTATTGGAGCAAAAATACCCAAATGCTCAGTTTTAGACTCATTTCCACTCGCGGCTCACCCCTCCTCAACCCCACTCGCGAATACTCCTCTTCAACCCTACCTATGATAAGTCATGAAGACATTCCTTAGGCCTTGTTCATGGACCAGTTTCTGCCCCCCCTTTCTTTCTTCCCATTTCACTTCTCTTTCCAACCCTCTCCTTCTCCCCTTGACCTGTATGGGATTGGGGTGCTTAACTACTGGTCTTTTAATCCATTTTCATCGGATTAGGAACAAGTTGGAGTCCTCAGTGACCTCTCTGCATCCCGATATGATTCTTATGCATTTTGTATTTTATTGATTTGCACCTATTCTACCTCTGAGGTCACATTGCCCTTGAACAGAGGTGTGTATCCCCAACCTCTGTGCACTTTTTGGGTTTATTGGATTTGCATGTGTTATTTATTTTTGTCTTAGTATGTAAATCTAAAGAAAAGAACACTCTTGAAAAAAAAAATTCTAAAACCCAAATGAGAAGGACAAATGAATGCCGTCTGTTAGCTTGTAAAACGGATTAAAGTCACTCACTCATCTAGAGCATAAACCAAAAAGTAAAATTTTTGGTATAGGAGCATTTAAAAATGTATACTGATAAAGGTATCTATATGACACTCTGGAGGTATGTCTGTTGTACAATAAGCCACAAGGCTACAGTACAGAATGTTCCAAGGATGAGACTTTTCTCAAAAACATGAAACATTTACATGAGTTTGGAGCGTCTCAGTTCTAATGTCCTCCCACCGGCTACTGACATTTCATGGCGGTCTCACACTCCGAGGTCATTTTTCAGGTAGTGGCATACTGGATCAATACACAAGCATGCTTAACAATGGATTTACGTCCGGCCGATGCCCTTAAATGTGCTGCTAATTGGTCATTCTAATCCTAATCAGAATTCAGCATTAAAAAGAGACCCACATGAAATAACCACCTGCAAATGCTAGATGCCTTGCAGTCGCATATCTCCTCTTGCATTTAAGTGTATGCAAAGGAAAAATTTGCTAGAGTAGGGATGGGTTAGACCTTCTGTCAGGTTTTTATTGCAATCTGTGCCCCCAATAGGGAGATTCACCCTCATTTTGTGACCATAGTTAATGAGACAGAAGCTGAGGCAAATCAAAACCTTTAAGGTTCCATTCACATATAGCGTTCCTGCTTCCCACGCGGTTTTCCTGCAGAAGACTGCACGGGACGCAAACGCTATTTGTGCAACAACTGCACAGATTCGCTTGTCTGCGGCTATTATATAGCCGCGAACGCGCAGAATCCGCCGTATTATCGTGCTTGCACTATTTTTGGAGCCGCCAGTTTCAAACCGCGCGGTCCCCACAATAGTCTGAACAATGCATATTAAAGTGCATTGTTTTGGTTTTGAGCAGCTCCGCGCGTGTGCAGACAGCTGCTCCAGTGTGAATGGAGCCTAAAAAGGTGTCATCAGAGCAAGAGGTGAAGGAAAATGGTAATGAGGACAGCTGTCACCATGATAACTCTAGTGTGGGGAATTCAATTCACTTTGGAGAGATCTCCTTTTATTTCTTGTTGTGTTTCCTGTACAGGAAGTGAAGGGAAATCCTCCCCACAGAGATACTGACAGTAAAAATGACCTTGAAAGGGATTTCCACACTTCGTTGCTCTATGCAAAACTAAGTAAAAAGGTTCTGGCTTTACATACATTGTAATATTGTGAAACACCAACCCAGGCAGAAGTCAAACCGCCTGCCACTCTTTTCAAGGCAGTGACTTTGAAGGTGTTGAAGCCAGAGGAAAAACCTGAAAGCCAGCCAAGTAGAATTTTCAAAAAGGTAGACGAGGAAGGCAGCTTACTGGTCTCATGACGGGTTTATTTTTCATGACAATCTGGCTCTCAATGTGTATACAGCTCAGGCCTGAGCAAACGCATTGCCGCGTGTTTCTTCCAGCAAGATCCAATTTCACTTCCAAATTCTCTCAATCTTTGTTTCGGCAATGCCATATTACTCATTCACCATTGTTCTAAACTGCTCCCTGTTACAAGACATGACCTCATCATAGCAAGCATGTTCCTCTTACCTCTCCCAACCAGGTGTAGTCATCACTCCACATAGTCTGTCACTACATGACACATCTCACTGTCTCGTCTGTCAATCACTCTACTCTGGCTAGGCAAGCCTTTTCCCTTTGGGTCAGCTGGGTGCAGTTATGACATCCAGCCAACACGTGTAGTGAGGAAGAGAAGGGTTGCCAATGCCGAGTCCAAATGGACAGCAATTTATGCACGATTTGTCCTAAACAGCTTAACCAGCTGAAGGAATCAATTCATAGGTTGATTAAATAGTTTAAAGTGAACCTGTGCTTTGCCCATGCAGGGGATGGGAGGATTAAAAGGAAATATCTGTTGCTTTACCACGCCTTGGCAAAGAACAGGTTTGCTGCAGTTGTTTCACCTGCTCTGGAACTGCACGCTGCGATGTGAACTGGAGCAAAAAATTCCATTGGAAT